CGACAGCGGGGTTACGTGAGGTGCGACAGCGGGGTTACGTGAGGTGCGACAGCGGGGTTACGTGAGGTACGACAGCGGGGTTACGTGAGGTGCGACAGCGGGGTTACGTGAGGTACGACAGCGGGGTTACGTGAGGTGCGACAGCGGGGTTACGTGAGGTACGACAGCGGGGCTACGTGAGGTACGACAAGGCACGTGAAGGCTCGGCGAGATACGTGAGGCAGATAGTTATACTGACCCTATAGGCAGTTAATTAATGCGTTAGAGCGGCGGCCGCGGGTCGCCCGCTGATAGGCCGTGCATCACAATTCAATTGACAACAATTGTTCTCGGCCACCACGCAACGCCGTAATGATAAACATCTAAAGTCTCTTAATAAATAATAGAAATTACTGAGAAATTGTAATACAGGATTCTGTATTTGCCATACGGCTACAGGAGAACAGTTACGTCGCTCGGTACACAGCTGTGTGCTGTGTAACGGAGAGTCGTGAGAATTGTTGTATTAATGATACTAACGATGATTGATCTCTGATACGGGGAGGGTAGGGAAGGGGAAGGATGACAGGTGCGTGCTTGAGAAGAGGAGAGGGAGAGAGGAGATGAGAGGGAAGAGGGAGATGGAAGAGGGGAGGGGTGTGGGGAATAGTTGGGGTGGAGAAGAGGGAGGAAGAGAGGGAGGAAGAGAGGGAGGAAGAGAGGGAGGAAGAGAGGGAGGAAGAGAGGGAGGAAGAGAGGGAGGAAGAGAGGATATATGTAGTAAGAAGGGAGTGAGAGGAAGAGAGCGAAAAGAGGATATGGAGTGAAAAGAAGACAGTGGGAGGTAGATTGAGGAGAAGAGAGTGAGGGGAAGAGTGAGTGGGAAAAAGAGGAAAGGAGGGGAGAGGTAAGATGAGAAGATGCGTTGCGCCTGTCACGGCAAAAACATTATAGAGATAATGTGACACATAATGCGTGGTGATCATTCACACCACCTGCATCATACCACCTCCATCACACCATTTTTCCTGCGTGCAATGGTGTGATGTTGGCGGTCGCAAGTCCAATTACATATTTGATAAAAAGAATTGCCTTCTCCCCCAGGAGTGGGGCTGTGATCGTGACCCCCGAGGGCACCTCGTATGAGGGGAGGTGTCACGGCCACGAGGGGAACAATGGAACAGCATGGGAAAAGTCGGAGTTACTCAGGAAATATAAGTTATCAATGGGAGAATGTGTGTATACAGCGTGGGCTATGTGCGAATGTGTACAACGTGATCTATGTGTGAATGTGTACAATGTGATCAATGTGTGAATGTGTACACAGCGTGGTCTATGTGTGAATGTGTACACAGCGTGGTCTATGTGTGAATGTGTACACAGCGTGGGCTATGTGTGAATGTGTACACAGCGTGGTCTATGTGTGAATGTGTACACAGCGTGGTCTATGTGTGAATGCGTACACAGCGTGGTCTATGTGTGAATGTGTACACAGCGTGGTCTATGTGTGAATGTGTACACAGCGTGGACTATGAGTGAATGTGTACACAGCGTGATCTATGTGTGAGTGTGTGTACACAGCGTGGACTATGTGTGAATGTGTACACAGCGTGGACTATGTGTGAATGTGATGAAGATGACAATGCCCACAATGTGGTAGGAATGATGTCAGGATGTAGCCAATCATTAGATGGGAATGATGATAACTATAACTATACAACAGGCACCTTTATAGTGAGAGTATAATGAGTGAGAGTGAGAGAGAGAAAGAGTGAGAGCGTGAGTGAGGGAGAGAAAGAGTGAGAGGGTGAGTGAGGGAGAGAAAGAGTGAGAGGGTGAGTGAGGGAGAGAAAGAGTGAGAGGGCGNTGAGTCAGAGTAAGGCTAAGTGAGTCAGAGCAATGCTAAGTGAGTCAGAGTAAGGCTCAGTGAGTCAGTGTAAGGCTAAGTGAGTCAGAGTAAGGCTAAGTGAGTCAGAGTAAGGCTAAGTGAGTCAGAGTAAGGCTAAGTGAGTCAGAGTTAGGCAGAGAAGAGAAAAAGTTTAGAATAAGTCAGCGCGATTCAGAGTGAGGCTGAGTGTAAGAACAAAAGAAAACACGCCAAAGAAACGCAGAGTGATGGAGAGTTAGGGAGAGTGAAGAAGAGTGAGAGAGGGAGAGGAGAGTGAGGGAGCGTGAGGGAGTGATATTAAGGCCGGAGGAGTGATAGTGAGGAGAGTGAGGGAGAGTGAGAAAGAGTGAGGGAGAGTGAGAAAGAGTGAAAAGAGTGATATTAAGGCCGTACGAGTGATAGTGAGGAGAGTGAGGCAGAGCAAGACATCCCCCAGGAGGCACGGCCTGAGGCAGCCACAAACACAACAGTCAATAAGGACGTCGTTGTGTGACCAGCTACTGCACACAAGAGC